GATAGATGGGTGGATTGGTGGATGGAAATGGTGAATACCTACATAGATATAAGCAAACAGGTTTTGTGAAATGAATTAATATCTGTTATCATGGTAAACCATTAGTTCCACAGTTTTTTAGCATCTTCAAAAGTATTTTGACAGCAGGAGACAAACTGGCCCCTTACAAATATTTTAGACATGACAAATTGTTGGTGGTGTCAGAGTTAAGCTGTGGTTTTATATATATATATATATATATATATATATATATATATATATATATATATATATATATATATATATATATATATATCATTTGAAGAAAAAGACAATGCTTTTGGCTCTGATTCAGTATGACTCCGGCCCGGCAGTATGCTTTCCAGATTATCCACCATAGTGACAAGGATATCATCCACTTCTTTGGCTTTCTTCATTCCATTTCTTTTTTTGAGTAAGTAATGGGTCGAAGAGGATAAAACCGTTTTCCTTCCCTTCACTGATGGATGCTAATGCACAGTCTGTCAGTACAGAGGTGGCAAATCCCTTAGGGAGGGTTTGCACTGAACTATTTCGTGTCTGTAAAAAGATCAGGGGGAGTAATCTCTGTCTCCGCTATCCAGGACTGCTCTGCTGTGTAAATCCAGAGAGAGAAAAAAAGAGAGACAGAGACAGATATCTCTAGAATATGAAGGTAAAAAACAAACAAATGTCTTTGCACATGTTTGGAAAATGTCAATGGTTTTAACACAAAACTGAATTTATCATATGAATATGCACTGCACTTTTTGTATTTGTTACTACAGATGAGGTTGAACCTTTCCAGTCATTCACACCAGTCTAGGTAAGTATATATGTTTTAGAAAGAATGTTACACACACATACACACACACACCACCAGACACACTTTATTTATGTCTTATTATACAGCACAGGGTTAAATCCGTTTAATTGCTCAACCCTTGTGGGAGAGAAAATTGAAAACGAAGGTTTAATTTCATAGGTCTCTATTTTCAAGGGATTTTGTTTCACTGTCTCTAAAGCCCTGGCACTATTACTTGTCATGTAAAAACCAATTACAATCTATGCCAAGATGAAATGTGTCATCAGAGAATCTATTAACAATGTTCTCAGACCTCAATATTTACAGTCTCCACCCTACTTTCTGTGGCATCACTGAGTGTTGCAAGTTATTAAGGACAATTAGAGGACAATGGACTTAATGTCAAATCTGCTGTTTTAATATAGCTGAGTTAAGTTAATTTCGAAAGACCTGGTTGAGAACAAATTGCACCAGAGAGCAGTTTTCAAGACAAATAGATCAATTTAATTTGCAATAAAACTGAATCAAATGTTCTACAAAGTCTGTTGATATTAGTCTGATAACTCTAAAGCAATTCCGTCATAGAGTTAAAGTAAGATCAAATAAAGGATTTGTTGCATACAGTCAAATTAGATTCTATTTCATGATAAAACAGCCATCACTATCAACTTTATCTACAAAATGCTTCAATAAAATTAAAACCGAATCCATACGTTTTTAATAATAAAAGCAAACAGATAACAGCTGAAATTAATTAGATATGAGTAAAAACCAGTCTCTCTTTGTTTTAAAGGCAAATGAGTAAAATGAAGTTATGCCTGCCAAATTTGCAAAATGAAGGCATTCTATAACTTAGGGACCCCAGTAGAGAAGGATCTGTCCACTCCAAACTTCCACCGGGAACTGGAGAATGGCCTGGAGCAGCTCAGTCAGCAAATCTGAGTGACCAAGTGGGAATGCAATGGTGAAGAAGAAGAAGAAGAAGAACAAGCTTATTTAAATAAGTTTGTA